GCCGGGCGGCCGGCTCGCGCGCCTCCGCGTCCCCGCCGCCGCCAAGTTGGAGCGGGCCGAAGTCGGCCGCGCTGGCCGGCATGCCCGGCGCCGCGTACGCGAGGTGCTGGTGCTGGTGGTGGGGCGGCTGCTGCTGTTGCTGTTGCTGCTGCTGCTGCTGGCGCCGGTAAAGCTCGGCGTAGCGCTCGCTCAGGTAGAGCTGGCGCGCGTTGCGGAGCACGTAGGACACCAGGAGGTTCTTGTGCAGCTTGATGCCGCCGCGCTGAGTCCGGGAGCTGTGGATCTTGCGCAGGGAGATGCTGATCAGGCTCTGGGCGTCCAGGGCGCACTCCATGCTCCCGCGGAGACGGCGGCGGCGGAGCAGCCGCGGCCGCTGCTGCTGCTAATGCTGCTGCTGTTTCGGCCTCCAGCCGGCCGCGAGGCGCGCCGGACAGAGGGAACAGAGCCCGGGTCAGCGGGTCGGCTGCGCTCCGAGAGGAGCCGCCACCATGCGCTGCGCGCCAGCCACAGCCCCGTGCTCCCCAGACGGCGCCAAAGCAATGAGCCTCGGCCGGCCCCGGCCCCAGCTATTTAGCTGGGCGTCCGGGCCCCGCCCCACACCTGATGAGCCAATAGGAGTGCCCAGAGCCCCCCGAGTGACAGGCGCTGCCCGCCCCGGGGCCACTCGGCTGGCCAATCAGACCAAGGCGGTTCCTTTGTGCTATTCAAATACCGAACGGACCCCGGGCCTCCAACGCCGCCGCTGCCTCGAATGTTCTCCTGGGGCTGCAGCGCCGCGCGGGACTCGGAGCCCCTGGGGCCGCTGTCTGCAACACGGGTCGCCCCGCAGCCGACACGTTGGAGGCGCGGCCGCCCTCCGCCTGGGTCCTGGCAGCCGGGGGTCGGCTCACCTGCGTGCCGCGGCGACGGCTCCTCCCCCTTCCGCACGGCTGGGCCTCACCTGCGGCAGGTGCGCGCGGCTCCCCACTCCCGGCCACGCGGCGCTTCCTTTCCCACCTGCCGCCTCCGGGTGGCCTGCGGGACCCAAGGCCTTTGCAGGAGACTAGTGGGGCCGCCGGCCTGACCAGGGGGACCCTCAAAGGAGAGAGGTTCAGAGGTACCCTCGACCGCAGAGAATGTTGGGCCCAATTCCCTGACTTTTTGGCCGAGGGGACTCAAGGAATACTCCGGGAAGGTCCGTCCTTCCCGTTGGTCTGACGGGAAAACCCAAAACCTCGTGAATTTTGGTTATTTCTGGTGGAGGAGGTTCCAAAGCATGCCCCAGAGAGTGCATGCGCCTTGCGACCAGCTGAGGTCCGAAGTGGTTGTGAGAGCCGACCCCAGGTGTCCTAATCGCCGGTTCTGTAACGTTTCCTTTCCTTCCTAACTAATAATAATGACAATAGAGACTATCTTTATGTTCCTAGTATGGGGCAGGCCCCTGCCAGAAACCCTGAATCCCTCACTGTGAGTGCTTGCCGAGCGCGGACCTGGGTCTCAGAGGAGTGGGGTGACTCCTGGGAGATCACACAGCCTCGAAGGGGCAGGGCCAGGATCTGTGCCAGGGCTGTGAGCTCCCGACGGGAGGCGAATACCAAGGGCTGAGGAACTCGCCGGCTTCCCTTTTGTTGACGCTGTTTTCCTTCTTGTCCAGAACCATTCGTGGGCCGCCTCCTCCCAGCTGAGGACTGAGACCATCCCAGAACAGAGGGGCAGGCATGCGATATCCGGGGACTCACCATCTGGACTGGGAGGCCTGAAAGGGGGCTGACTGCTGCTCTGAGAGGGGGGTCCTCGAAGTGGTCAAGAGGTTTGCCTGAGGAGGTGGCCCTTGCATTGGCCCTTGAAGGAGGAACGGGCTTCACAGAGACTGTGACAGCTAGGTGGCCTTGTGGGGCTGGGGTGGGGGAGATCCCGGGAGCAAACTGCCTGCTGTTTCACCTCTCCTCGGGGTTTCTTCTGAGTCTCCTCTCTCCTTGGGCCCATTGTCCTCAGCACCGACTTCTTGGTGGGAGTGAAGAGACCCAGCCAGCCATCCTGCAGCTTCTGGGTCTCCCTTCAGTCTGAAGAATTCTCCGGATTTGTTTCCTCGAACAATGTTTCAACATCTACTCAGTGCCAGGCATCAAGGGTGAAAACAAAGTTAGGGAGCATTTACCCCATTTTTCGGAGGAGGAAACTGAGGCACCAACAGCAGCAGGGACTTGCCTGAGGTCCAGGCCTGGGGCTCTGTGCTTTCCATGCCAACAACCTCAAACTGGTCCGAACCCCGCGACCAGTAGCACCTGTCCCGGCCCCCACCCAGAGAAGCCAGTATTGACATTTTAGGGGGACTGCAGAGAAAGGGCATCCTCCTTCCATGTCTTGGGGATCTGGTGATAGGGATACTCAAGAGTGGAACTTGGCCGTGTGATAACATCTGCAGGAATAAGAATATACTGCTCGTACTTCCCTAGGGCCTGTCTTAAAGACACAACGGCTTCATTAACTTATTTTTGAAGTTTGCCTTTGAGACATGGCTAGCACGTGGAGGGGAGCAAGAGGTCGTATCTGGCTTCACAGCTCTGAGGACACCATCTGCAACAGTCAAGTCTCGGATCCACGGGGTCTGGCCAAATGCACAAGCCCAAGAATGTATTATGAATGCTAGTTCAGGCCTTCGTTCTGTCCTCACCCAGAATTTATTGAGGGACACAGACTTGGAGTTTATGTGTCTCGGTCAAGGTCACGCAGCCAAGAAGGGTTGGAGGCAGGATTTGAGTGCGGGTCTGTTTCCAGGACTGGGACTCTCCCTAGGTTCTTTGAAATCAGCTGCTTCTGCCATGGGTGGATCTGAGTCCAGTTCTCAGGGCTCAGCTCAGGGTGACCATGACCTTGATTTGGTCGACATCCCACCACTTTCCTGCCAACTGCTCCGAGACCAGGGCCTGCAGGAGTCCACGAAGAAGCAAATATCTGTCCCAGCCTCAGCTCATCGTTCATAGCCATTCTCAGAGCTGCACCCCATAACACGACTCTGGGGGCCTAGATGGGGAGTCAGGGTGGAGATGGAGGTGGATTATCTAGCCACAGGCTGGGGACAGGGGAGCCAGGCCCCTCGCTTGGGCGGCTCCCCTTAGAACTTCCCAGCCCCCTGCTCAGCCTCTGCCCCACAGTGAGCCTCACTCCCTGGGGCCAGCTGAGAAGTGGTCGGCCCCATCTGCATGGCCCCATTCTTTGGGCCCTCTTGTCTGGGGCCTACCCTCTCTTGGTCTCCCCTCCTTCCCAAGAATCGAGAGGTGGGTAAGCGGGGAGGGGTACGCAGTTGTCTAGCTTAATAAAAACCCTTGATCTTTTTTGGGGTGGCCTGGGAGGGGGGAGTTGCTGCAGCTGTTGTAAGAAAACACTTGCCGAAGCAGGCAACGGGACAGCTGAGCTCTTTGGTGCCCTTGGGAGCCGTGAAGCTTGGGGGGCGCACAGTAGGAATTCACACGTGTTTGTAGGGTGGGTGGGTTGCACACAAGTCTTCTGTTTGGATGCACAAAGGCTCAGAGCAGGGTACCATAGGCTGTTCAGGGCAGCAGGTGTGTACGTGTGTCTATGAGTATCCTTGTGCACACGTGTGGGGAAGAGGGGCCCTCAGACCTGTGCCCTGTGCTGGGGGGCAGGTCTGAGTGAGACAAGGCTTCTTGGGATGAAGGGCTGGCCTTATTTGGGCACCTGAGAAAGGGGGGGGTGCTCACCTTTCCCCCTAGAGCTGAGAGATTACATCTGGCCCTGAGTCATTGCTTGCTAGAGGAAGTTAATTAATGCCTAAATATTGACTGAGTGTCTGCTGGGACAGCGTGGAGCAGGGCACAGACCCGGTGGGGACCTGGGCTCCTGTGGAACCCCAGGTGGTGTCAGCCCCACACCAGAGCAGTTAACACCTCGAAAACGCTGCATATGCCTGGCACCTTTGGGTCACCTGGCTGGGAGGAGGGAGACACGGCTGGGAAGGGTCCTGGCCAGCCGTAGGATTTGTCTGGTGGGCTCCGGGAAGCGGTTTGGGGAAGAGGATGTGGAGGCAAAAAGCTTAACTGAGGGCATTGTGTTCTGGAGAGTGGGGAGGGCGAGAGAGATTTGAATTCATGTATTCATTCATTTGTTCATTTGCCCAAGAGATATTTCCAGAACCCTCCTCTGGAATCCCTGCAAATGGCTCAGGGAACCAGACGTGATCCTGCCCTCAGGAGTCCCAATTCAGAGGGAAGCAGACAGAATAAATAGACCAGATGATACAGAGGGATAGGTCTGTGATAGGAGGACGGACGGGGCTGGAGGAGGGCAGGGGGGACCCCAGGACTGGTCCGGGAAAGCTTCCTGCAGGAAGTGTGACTGGAGGCCATGGAGGGGGAGGGGCCTTCCAGCTGAGAGAACACACAGGGCCCACACAGCGCCTGGCACACAGCAGGCACTCAGTACAGACTGTGGAGTAAATCAGTCAGTGCATGCAAGTATGCAGAAGATGCTGTTAGAGTTGGAAGGGCCCCAGAGACCAGGCTGCCTCTACTTCTGATTTCCAGATGGGTAAACTGAGGTCGGAGAGGAGGAGGGATGTGCTAAGGGTGTCGGCCCGGAGCTGGGGCCAGAACCCAGATGTCCCAGCTCCTGGTCCAGCCTCTGGCTGCCACACCTCACTGTCTCCATGGCTTGGAGAGGGCGTTGCTCCATGGGGACTGAGACTGGGGACTGCGGGCGTGGCAGAAAAGGTGGTGGGGTGCGGCTGACCACAGGGGTCGCTCTTGAGTCCTCTCTGAGGCCGTGGAGCCAGTGGTGCTCAGATGTGGGAGCGCTGTGCTGCACCCCAAGAAGGCTGTTCTGTGGCTGGTGGGCACTGGAGAGCTTGGCTAGGGTCCCAGAGCGCAGGCAGCTCCCACCTCCTGCCCTGCCGAACTGGCACCCTGTCACTGTCCCAGGTGGGGGTTAATGACCCGCTAATGTCTATGCTTGCCCAGCATGGGCCTGGGCAACAGGCTCAGGGCCCAGAAAGACATGGTGGCCCTGGCTTCAAGGTCCTTGAGTGTAATGAGAAAGACTGACAGCTGCTTGGCCTGTCTGAGCTCTGCTCTGTGCCAGGCACTGGGCCGAGCGCTTCCGGTAGTAGTCTCCTTGAATCCTCAGGCCAACCTTTGAGGCGGGTTTGGTTATAATCTCCATCTTATGGATGAAGCACCTGAGGCAAAGAGAGCTTGGCTGACTTGCCTGGGGTCACACAGCAAGGAAGGGGAAGTGACTGGATCCCAGGGCTCTCGGGAAGTGGGAGTGCCGTCAGCAGCAGGGGGGGACTGGAGACCCCCGCTGCTCCATTTGGATTCATTGGCCTTTTGAACTGTTCTGTCCTTATCAATGGAATGGGCATAGAGGGCAGATGTGATCTCTCCACTGGGGTCTTTGCCTGAGCACCTGGCACAGGCTGGATGTCCGTTTGCTCCTTCCTTCCTTCATTCATTGACTCAATAACCATGGACTGAAGGCTGGCCAGTGTGCAGGCACTGAGCTAAGCCCCCGGGAGAACACCTGGTGGCTCTCACTGCCCAGAGCGGGCCTGAGCAT